AATTAATGGAATAAATTAAGCCATTCGTGAGGATAAAGCCCTCAAAACTTAATGGCTTCCCAAATATTCCATTTCCAGAACCTGGGGGTTGGGGGTGGGGTTAGCACAAATGTAGCAAACATGAGGCCCTGGGTTCAATTCCCTGTACCAGCAAAATGTAACACCCCAAACCAAATGTTTCACTTCCAGGTGCTTTTAATACATGAATTTGGGGATTAAGTCTCCAACACATGAATTTGAGAGACAGATTGAAACCACAACAGTGTCCCCAGTTCTTCATGTAGGATGGGGGTGTCAGAGCAGGATCTTCATCTCCCACCTGCAGTGACAGGACAGTGTGGGAGTCCAGACTTCCACCACCACCCCCAATTTAAGTCTGACATCTCATTAATTTAGTTCAAAATGTGCAGTAGACTTAAATGCAGAAACATCAAACTATTTTTTAAACCTTTTAGAAAAACAGAGGAGAAAAGCTTCCAGATTTAGGGCTTACAAAAGCACAATTCATAATGAAAAAAGTAAGTTGGACTTCATCAAAAGGAAACCTGTCACTCTGAAAAAGGCCTCGTTAAAAGAATGAAAAGTCAAGCTGCAGAATGGAGGGAAAGATTTGTGAATCACATAGCTGACAAAGGAATAGTATCTAGAATATATAGAGACCTCTCAGAACTCTGTAAGAAAAAAAAATCCAGCTTAAAAAAAATGGGCAAAAAGACATGAACAGGCATTTCACCAAGAGGAGATGTATATGGTAAAAAAAAAAAAAAAAAAACACAGAAAGAACTCAAGTCCACCCATAGCTTTGAACGTGAATGTTTGTAACAGGTTTCTTAACTGGAAATATTGCAGCTGCCCTTCACAGGTGAACTGTTAAACTGTCATTTATCTCTACTGTCCCATGCGAACCCCTCAGCAGTGAAACGGAGCAGACCAGCCATGTAAACATCAATTCTAACAAATCTCCATAGAATTATAGTGAATTATGATAAAAAAAAAAAGCCAATCCTCAAAGGTTACATACTGGGTAATAGCACTCAGATTCCAGAGGCGACAAATTCATTGAAATGAAACAGGTTAGTGGTTGGCAGGGGTTAGAAAGGGTTGTGGCTGTGAGGAAACTGAATGTGGCTACTACCAAAGGGGGAACGACACAGGCAGTGATGGAATTATTCTGCATTTTGACTGCCTTAATGACATCCATCTTGTGAAACTGAGCTATTACATATAGCCTAACATGCTGTTACCATTGCAGGAAGCCAGGTAAAGGATACACAGACTGTCTTATTTTTTACAACTGCTTGTCAATCTATGATGATCTCAAAATAAAAAGCTTAACTTTAATAAAATCGCCAAGATCTTCTTGAAGGAAGTGAAAGGTATAGGTGGAGATGTAGAGAAGAATCTTTGCAAAACAATTGAGCATACAATTGGACACAAACTTGGCTTTATACCACATTTTATCTCCTCAATACAGATTTTGGGAAAATTTTCACAGGTGTATCAGGAGACACAGGAAGAAGGTCCATTGTGGCATAGCTGCAATAGCAGAAAGAATGCTGGGTGCCTTTTCCAGTGTTAATTTCCTGGTTTTGCAAATGTTCTGTGGTTACATAAGATGTTATCATGGAGCAGTAGGGCGAAGATACATAGAAACTTCCTGTACTTTTTCTTTTTGCAAACTCTATGTGAGTCTAAAATTATTTCAAGGTTTAAAAACTGGGCACATCTTGCTGAAAATGGCTTAAAAATTGGGGCATAGAGTAGAATACTAACCAGCAGTAGAAATGAAAGAATTGCAACTAAAGAGGACAGTCCCTCTGTTGAACAGACTGTAAGGAAAAGCACAAGTCATAGGACACAATCGCATATAAAACTCAAAAAAGCAAACGAAAACAAAATCTTGTCGAAGATTATACCCAAATGTGATAAAATTCAAAGAAAAGCCAGAGTTCTAGATTTTTCAAATTGAGGAGAAGGGAAGAAAAACACCTGTGGTCTCAAAAGTATTTCTCTCTTTCTCTTTCTCTCTCTCTCTCTTTCTATCTCTCTCTTTCTTTTGTGGGACAGGGGTTTGAACTCAGGGCTTCACCCTACCACTTGAGTCATACCTTCAGTCCATTTTGCTCTGGTTATTTTAGAGATGAGGGGGTGTTCACAAAATATTTGCCCTAGCTGGCCTCCAACCAAGATCCTCCTGATCTCAGTCTCCAAAGCAGCTAGGATGCCAGGTGTGAGGCACTGGCACCTGGCTCAGAAGTATGCTGACGATATCTCTAGCCAGGTGGAGGGAAAATGGGCATTCCTAGTGACAGGGCTTCTTTATCACTTCCATATACATGCTACACACTCAATATGGAACATTACATAATTTTTAAAGATGGAACACAAACATGCTATGTAGAAGAAAGTCTTTCTAGGGGCGGTGGCAAATTGAGGCCATATTTCTCCCTGCCTGTAGATAACTTGACTGCTCTAGGGCAGGTTAAGGACAAAGGTTGAGTGAGGACAAGCAAAGTAATGACAGAGATGGGAGAGAGACTCCGGAGTCTGTGAAGTTTTTATTCCCGAGGCATGATGTCCACACTGTGTGAACAACAACAGGGCCTGCCCCAGCTACAAGAGCCAATGAGCCAGAGTTGGAGTTATTTTTGTCATTTGAACTGAAGAATTATGACAGAGCCCTGCAAGGCATCCTAGGCCACAATCTCCCCACTAGGCCTGGTAAGCTCAGAGATCCCCAGATGGCCTGCCCCATCTCCCCATCATTTACTGCCATACCACTGAGAGTAGAGGACCAGGTGTTTGGATAAGGTACAGGACTTGTCTAGGCTTACTGAAAAGACTTTCTTTGTCACCCCAGCTGCTTCTTGCCACACATGATCTCCTGGGACCAGCCTGAGAGGGAATGGGAGGGAGACATTACTAGATGTCAGGAGAATGAGGAAATTGGAGGGGTTTTGCCTTGACCAGTAGCTCCCCAGGACCTCTCACAGAGGCAGAAAGGACTGTGGCTTGGGTGTCTCTTCCCCTTCTAGAGCATTTTGTAGCACCACACTGCATGTCATCTCCGGAGAGAGTAGAAGTGGGGTGGAAGCTGGGAGAGTTACTCTGAGCCTGGTACCAAGTACATCTGAGCTGATGGCTCAGCTGAATGACCTACAACCCCTGGGACTTTTAAACCAAAGATGACTGTGAGAATAGAACAGTTCTGATTTGGTTTCTAGATATTTATTGGCGTATTCAGACTTTTTTTTTTTTGACAGTACTGGGATTTGTACTCAGGTCTTCCCACTTGCTAAGCAGATACTCTACTACAAGAGCCACGCCCCCAGCCCTTTTTCACTTTATTTTTCAGGTAGGGTCTAGCTTTATTGCTCAGGGCTAGCCTCAGGCAACCATCTTCCTACCTATGGCCTCCTACCTAGCTGAGATTACAGACACGCGCCACTACCACTTAGTTTATTGCTTGAGATAGGGGGTCTCACTAACTTTTCACTTGGGTTGGGCTCAAACCTCGGTCTTCATGATCTCTGGAGTAGCTGGAATTGCAGTCAGAGCCATCATGCCCAGATTTCATGGGGTTTCCTTCTTTCCCTCCTTCCTTCCTTCCTTCCTTCCTCTCTCTCTCTCTCTCTCTCTCTCTCTCTCTCTCTCTCTCTTTCTCTCTTTCTGGTGGTGAGGTTTGAACTCAGGACCTTACACGCACTTAAGCCACACCCCCAGCCCTGCATCAACTATTTCTTAAGCTCTGAGCTAGGTTCTTGCAATCCAATAGTGGAGCCTCCATTGCTGCATTCATGGATTTTAAGGTCAGGAGACAGACTCTGGAGAACACAGCAGGGAGACAAACAGGGGACAGCAGCATGAAGTTCTGTATGTCCAAAGTGGGTAGCAGATGTCCCCTGGAAATTGCAGGTGCATGCCGCACCCTGCTCCTCACTGTATTTGCACAACACACATGGCGTGTCCCAGACATAGATGATAGTCCCAAGCCAACACTCACCCAACAGCCAAAGAAGAAGATCACGGGGTGGCAGGAGAGCAAGAGGTAGTTTTGCAACCCCCTCACCTCCCTTAACCAGGACGTAGTGGGGTTGAGCTGTCCTGGGAGTGTGTCTAACGCTTGCATCTGCCCTTTTCTCTCATCCACTTGCAGTTTATTGCGTGTACTTCAATGGGCCGGGCGAGTAGAGAGAGTCGAATGGGAGGTCGCTGTCATGTCCTCCAGAGCTCATTGTCCAGATAAACATAAATGGCAGGGCGAGGAGTGACACTGCCAGCCTGGCGGCCTCAGGGTCAAAAAGGCACTGTCCTGGAGATAACCATGCCTGCAACTGGGGGGCCACCACGCCTTTCCCTCCTTTGGGACGGTTACGATTTAGCGTAAAATGAGCCGAATGAGCAATTGGTTTGGAGTAGGCGCGCCCTATATTGGTGACCAGGTCTGTGGGGACACCTATAGATCCCACATAGGCCGCCCAGATGAAGGACGGGCGAGAGGCCACACAGGGCGACAGTCGAGCCCCACCCCCTACCTGCCCCAGGTATCCGTCCATCTTCCCACTCCCCACCATAGCCTGGCTGTCCCCCAACCTCCTTCCTTCCTTTCCACCCTCTCGGATGACTGCGCTGTGCATCGGTCTCTCGTGAGGTGGAGGAAGGGACGGGCATCTAGGTTTCAAAGACCACAAGCAAATGTCCCCTGACAATTTAGTGTCATTTTTTTTTCTGGGTTCAAGCGACAGGTAGAGTGGGGGAAGACAGAAGTAGCAAGGCAGGGCAGAGAGACCGTCCGAGGTGGTGGTGGTGGTGGTGGAGGCTCTCGATAGCTTTCTCCCGCCCGGGTGCGGGCTCCGGGTGGGCGAGCGCACGCCCCCCAAGCCCCGCAGCGCCGCGGGCCCCGCATGACATCAGAGGCTGGGGAGCGCGCAGCGCGCAGGCGCCGGCGGAGCAGGCAGGCGGGAGGGGGCAACTGGCGCGGCTCGGGAGCGCAACTCCGCCCCGCGCGCGGTCCCTGCGCCCCGCTCCGCCCGCGCCTGGCTGCCCGCGCTGCGCCTCGGGCGTCCAGAGCGCACCCCTCGCTCGGCAGCCAGCGCCGCCCTCGGCAGCCCAGCCGCAGCCTTGCTCCTCTTCCTCCTCGACCTCCTCCTCCTCCTCCTCCTCCGCGGCCGCCGCCGGACACGCAGCCGCAGGCCGGGGCCGGGACGCAGCTGGGGAGTCAGGGACGCGCGCCGCCCGCCCTTCCCCCTCCGGCTCCCGCACCGCCGGCCGCCTCCCCTCGCCCTCCTCCTCTCCCCTCCCTGCTCCTTCGCTTCTTCCTCCTCCTCCTCTCCCGGCCCCAGCTGCCAGCACCATGTCCGCAGGGGGAGATTTTGGGAACCCACTGAGAAAATTCAAGTTGGTGTTCCTGGGGGAACAGAGCGGTAAGTACCGGGCTTATTCTCTTGGCCTGGCGCCGAGGCTTCCCCCGCCCGCCCATTCACCCACCCCACTGGGACCCCCAGCCCTGGCTCGGAAAGGCCCTTCCCAGCTGGGTGGAGGAGAGGGATGGGGATGGAGATGGAGATGGGGATGGGGATGGAGATGGAGATGGAGATGAGGATGGGGAGGTCGGGGACGTCTCGGGCGGGGCTGGGCTGGGGAGGGGCCGAGGGCAAAGGACCCAGGAGGTGTTGGGGCCAGGGATGGAGGCGAGGGGGGGATTCGAGGTGCGGGGTGCTGGGGTGCAAGTGCAGATGCTGCGCGGCGGGGAGGCCGGAGGGCGGCGGCTAGTGCTGGCCGTGCTGACCAAGGCGTGAAGGCGCGGGGCTCACTGGTGTGCTCGCACTGCGGCACAAGCTGCAGGCGACGGCGCAGGTGTCTGGGTACCGGCGGGGGTGGGGGCGAGGAGACAGACGCCCCTTTTGAGAGATCGAGGGGGGGCTGGGGGCTGGCTGTCCCCCAGCACCCCTGGGGATTTCTGTGGACCCTGCCGGGAGCCGTGTGATAGGGCACGTCCAGATCTTACAGCAGACGGCCACGGGAGGTTGGGGGGAGGGGGCAGGGAAAGACCAACACCTGTCTCTTCTCGAAAGAGCGAGCAGATGCAGGCCATGGGCGACAGGTCGCCTACCTTCCCTGGCTTATGTCCTTCTGGACAGAAGGTTCCAGACCCTCTGCCCTTCGCTAGTGCATTTAGCCTCCTTGGGGTTCTGGGTAGATGATGACAGGGAAGGTTCCCTCAATGGCAGGTGATTTGGGGGATGGCGTACAGGCACCTCACGTCAAGAGACTGTGAAGTCTGGCCCTGGGCAGAGAAAGGCCTAGGCGACACGCCCTGCCTGGCTTCCCTGCCCCCCTCCAGAGAGCATCAGCAGCCACTGTGGTAGATTCTTCACACCCCACCTCCCAGCTCACCGCCCTTCTTGGGGGAGGGAAGGTCACCATGGCCACTGGCCAGACCTGGGGTAGGGGGAAACTGAGGGTTTCTCTGCTGCCCAGCAGCCTCCTCTCAGGATGGCATCTCTGGAACCCAGGACTGTCTAAGGTGGGAAGACCAGATGGAGGAGCAGGGACCCCTCAACACCTGTGAAAAGGAGTGGCTTCCACAATATCCCTCCAGGGACCTCTCAGGCAGGGCAACAAGCAGGACTCTGAGCAGTTGGAGAAGGCCATCTCTGGGGGCAGACCAGTCCTGTGCTGCTGGATCAGCATCTGTCTCCAACAGGCCAGAGAGGGGAGGTTGTGGGAGGACCAGGTGGTTTCCGGGAGCAGTGCTGCTCTGACCTGTGAGCTATGGAGGTCACATGGCCACCTCCTGTCTGCAGATACTCATCACCTGAGATGGAAGGTTGGGAACAGGTGTGTTAGAAAGTGGTCTAATGTGGACAGATGGGTTTGGGACATTTCAGATCAAGATCAACCCAGCCAGGCAGCCAACCTCCTGTCCTGGATTCTGATTTCTATTCGTAACAGATTCCAGTATCACAGAGGGGACTTCTCCCTGTGTCTGGAAGGGATTTGGATGGGCTTCAGCCCTGGGAGGGAGCCTGCATCCTGGGAGTTGAATTCTTAGTTGTGCCGCTAAATTTGAGGCCTCTTAGAGACTCAGTTACTGTCTCTGAAAAAATGGTTGCTTGAAGGTGGTTCTTACGCCTTCATATTTCCCCAGTGTTGAGACTGTGGGGTCTCAACAAACATTTTTTTTTTATTCCAAGTCTGAACACACTTCAATAAAGAACCACTTTGATGAGGAAAACATTGCTGGTGAATTTGAATGAAAACTCTAGGTTCCCTTAGAAACACTACTGATGATCCAAGGTCTCTGCTAAGCCCTGCAAACCCTTCTTGTTCTGAAAATCACAGAAACAAGATCCTAAACCTAAGGAATGAGCCCACCACCTTCCCCAATGTTCGGACAGTAAGAGAGCCCCAGGGAAGTCCTAGGGTTTACCTAGAGTCCCACTGTGAGTTATTTACACTGATGGAGGTAGGAACCCACATCTCCAATTTCCAGTCCGCCATTTTTTACTAGCATGTCATTGGAAAATAAGATGACCTTGAATTGGGGAAGCCCAAGGATTGGCTCTCTGAAAGGGGGTGAGGGCTCAGGGATGGCTGGGGTGGGTGACCTGGTGGGAATGCTGGGTTGGTTGGTCTGGGTCAGGGTTTATGGGCCCTTAGAACATGGTCAGTAACGAGACTGGAAACTGACTACCCTAGTCCCTTCTGGCAGAATTCGCTGAATACCTTCCTACTTTGCTGTGTGTGAGTGTTACTTTAGGTTTTACAGAGCTTTTGAGGTCTGTGAGATAGGTACAATACTATGCATCGCTGATCCTGGTGGGGTGGGATTGCTGCCATCACCTCTTCTGGCTTTCCTGTGCCCAGTTTTGCATTTGCTGATCCTGTGTGCCAGTCTCCTCTACAGCCTTTGCAGTGGAGGGAGATGCCTGAGGCCTGCTTCTCCCTTCCTGTCTGATCTCAGAGAACCCTCGCCTTCTGTACAGTGGGATCTTGGGCCAACTGAGCTCTGCAGAACCTTCTAGAGCAATGTGGGCTTGCCTCTGTGATCTGAGACCCCTAGAGGGGGGCCAGTGAAAGGGACATGGTCTTCTCTTTTTCCCACGCCTAGTATTGTGGTGACATCTCTCTCTAGCCCAGTGGGCAGAGGCAGTTGGATTCCAAAGATGAGTGCCATCCCAGGAGCAGGGTGAGGAGAAAGATACCTCGGTCACATAATCCCAAGTGGGCATCAGATGAAGAGACATCGGCATAGATGCTGGGAACTGGTTTGCATAGGAAGCTCTTGAGCCACTTTGGAGAGGATGCCTCCAGCCTGGGAAAGAGCCCTGCTCCCGGTAGCAGAGTGACTGCTGTCCCCTGACCTGTGGAATACAGGTTGATCTTGTCCGCCTGGCATGGAGTGGACTGGGACAGGGTTCTGTGCACCCCGGTGGGAGATTCTGTGCAGCAGGGGTGCTGTGTGGTCCTGCTCTCTGTGGTCCTACTGTCTGTGGTCCAGGGCGCTCTGGGCTTTCTAGACACACCCTCATGCTGGGGTCAGAGTTGAGGAACACGAGAGGTGGTGCACACCTGTCCCAGCTGGGGCCCTTGATAGCATTCCGGGGAAGACAGGCAGTAGTAGGTATCTGAGGGAGAGTGGGTCTGCAGGACGCACTCCTTCCTCCTGAGTTCTCATGGCTTTCCCTGGGGAGGCCATGTCTGTGTGCGAAGTGGGAAGGGAGGGTCAGGAATGTGTGTCTGCTGCACTCTGGCCTCTTCCTACCTCCCCTTCCCGAGACTCCTGCCATCTAAGCAGGAAGATCGGATGGATACAAGGCAGTTGTCTGTGTTCTCAGGCTGAGACCTGCAGGCCAACTTCTCCCTTTAACCATCCACCTTGGCCCTGTGCATCCACCAGCACAATGTGAATGACGTCGCTAGAGTTAAGTAGAAGTGACCCTGCCCCCCAGGTTGTTTGGTCATTTGTTCACTCAGCCCTCTCTTACCTGTCCCTCTTTCTTCTCTCCCAGAGTGTGGCCCTGCCCATGGAACTTACAGTCCACTGGGGAGTATAGACATTTGTGGATGTAATTACAGCAGAGGGCTGTGACAGTGACAGCTGTGATGAGGGAAGAGCCAGAGCCACTGCCGTGGGAGCCTGCTGGCAGGGGTATCTGCCTGCTTTTGAGGCAGGTGTTAGGGGGCTCCTGCAGAGGAGAAGGAGCCTCTGGGGTCAACAGAGGCCGTCTCTTTGGCCTGAGTGTGGGGAGAAGGTTTCTCATTGAGCCCACCCTCTCCAGAGACCCTTGTTTGTCCTTCTGTCCTGCACTGTAGACAGTGTGGGGTGGAAGTGCAGGAGGTCAGGGATGATTCTCAGGGGCCTGGCACTGAGTAGGAGCCCCCACTTTCATCTCAGTCTCCTCCAGTTAAGGTTGAAGGAATGTTCAGTGGCTCCCATAGTCTGGAAGGCTCACACTGCTCCATCCATAGCCTGAACCCTGTTGTCCCCACAGCCACCACACCCACCAGCACACAGGAGCCCTTCTCTGGTCTGGTAATGTGCCTGCTGCCCCAAACACACACACACACACACACACACACACACACACACACACACACACACACACGATCACAGGTTGCCCCATGACCTCTCTTCTCTCTCTTCTGTTGCCTCTATTGAGTGGGGGTTTGTAAATGCTTATTAACCTTTTCAGGTACAAAGTTCCTAACTGAATTTTATGCATCTAAGAGTGGCCATGAGCATTTATTTAGAGGATATGTCTTAGTCATCGTTTTGTGCCCCCATCCCTGTTCAGCTCGTGCTCACTGAACGTCTTGATTGGAAAATGAAGACATTGTCCTTGATGTGTGAGATTTGCTGAAGGCCCATCAGCAGATTAAAAGTGACGGGAGGCAAGGCGGCTCCTTCCTCCTGGCACCTGCTGCTTTCTTAAGCTGGCAGATGCCTTCCGGGGTCACTTGAAAATCTTTTTCAGAGAATTGGATCATTTAGCTTTGGTCATGCTCCAATCATAGTTGATTTCAAAGAACCTGGGGTTCTCAGAGGTTGCCCTCCCCCCATATTTCTAAAGAAATTTGGAAAACTACTAGGCCACCAGAGGTGAGAGGGGACATGCCAGACTGATCCTGCCAGAGCTCCCTTGGAAATCTGGAGTAAATCACCAAGCTGTTCCGTGCCTCAGTTTCTCTGTCTTGCTTTCTTTGCCAATTTTCTCCCCTCCACTGTGCCTAGCATGAGAGGGGCCATCTTGGATGCTGGATAATGACCCAGAACCTTTGCTTTTTGTTTAGTTAAAGAGGCATATGGGAGAGAGTAACACAGACATTAAGATGAGTATATTAGTTCATTTTCTGTTACTATAGTGAAGTATTTGAGGCAGGCTAGCTTTCTAAAGAAAAGAGGTTTATTTAACTCACA